TGTGTATGGTTTCCCAGTTAACCAGTTTTGTGTGAAGAATCCTAGGCTGAATATCCTCTGCATGTGCACACAGCCTCCCAGTCAGCCAGGGATGCATGGCAAACTTATATAGCTCATTTTTATATCTTTCAAAGTTCTAGGATCTCCCTGTTAAAATTTTTGGCTGGTCCACTAGTCTGTCACTTGCACCAATAAGAACTACAGCTTTAGGCTAATAGAACTGTGGGTTACTAATTGATTAAAGATTGGAGAAAGATGTATCACAGAAAGAAGCAAGAACAAAAATACAAACATGATCATACTCACATGTCCAGAGTCCTGATGGGCAATAACTTGATGTTAGGGTATGACCTTTGGTGCAGGATGATTTCTCCCTTGTTGCTTCCCTCAGGGTATATGTTGGGTCTTTGGCATCCTTGAACTATATCAGAATAAAGACCATAGGGGGAGATGAGAAGATGACATATGGATAGCTTGATATTTGGAACTACTTTGATCACATAGCAATAAAGAATATCAGCAAGAAGGAGAGAGCTAGTAGGAGGAGGATAGAGGTTTAGAGATGATTCACTCCATCAACTTTTCAATTTGGTAGACCAGGAAAAAGCCAAGGCACAAGGTTAAGGATGTTAAGTTTTTAGTCTATAGTTTCATGATTAATTGGTAAGTTAGTTGAAATTCGTACCTAAGTCTCCTGGCTTTGAATCTTTATTTTTTCTATCATGTCTGACAAAGAAAAGTGTAAGTTTTTGTAGAGCCATAAAATTTTTGAGCTAAAAATGAGCTAAAGATATAATAATATCCTCCAGTAACAACTTTCCAATATTAATATAATTATTATTAGCACCCACTGAAACAACCAGCACTTGTTGAATGTCTAATATGTCCCTATCACTGTCTGTATAAGCTCATTACAAATATGCTATTAATATTCTCATTTTAAAAAATTAGGAAAGGAGAGATTTAGTGATTTGTCTAAGAGCTGTCAGAAAGTAAGTGATAGAGCTGGGATCTAAACTTGGGTATGTTTGAATTCAAAGCATCTGCCTTTAATATCTGTTACATTGCCTCATATAATGTTGGTGAAAGTACTTTAACCCTGTACTTGGCAGGCTTTAATGACTATACTGAAATCATTTTATGGTGCCTGTGTCACCTAGTCTCTGCTTGAATATCTCCAGGGATGGGAAACTCACCCCATCTTCAAGTAGCTCCTTTGCTTATACAATCACTTCTATTATTATAGTTCTCTCATGTGGACCGCTTCTGTTGTTAAAGTTCTCTCATATGTCTTTTGGTTACTCCTTTAATGTTTGGCTTTCTGTATTTATACAGAATAAATCAGTTTTCTCTTCTATATGAAGCAAGTCATCTTTAATGTTTTCTTTGCCAGGTTCAACACTGTTTTTTCAGCTATTTTTTAAAAATAAAATTATTTCCCATCTTGGCATTTTCCTTTGGGTGGACTGTAGATGAGAAACTGTTAGAGGTGGAAAACATATAATACTACAAGTAGAGTATTATAATAACAAAAATAGTAATAGCTACCCTTTATAGAGTTCTTATTATGTGGCATGCATAGTGCTAAATTTTTTATGACTCTTTACAATAACAGCATGAAGAAATAGGCTTACAGAAGCATTGTTGTCTGTCACTTCTGCAGCTAATAAGTGACCACCAAGCTAGAATTTGAACCAAGGTCTGCTTTAACTCCAACTCTTTACTGTGCTGCCCTTGGCTGGCATGGAGTTCAGGGTGGCTATGTTACCTCCTGTATTCTGGATATTCTGGTTCTATTAATTTAGTCTAAGAATTTTGTTAATCTTTTTGGCAGCAATATTATATTTGGCAGCATATTACTGGCTTACATAAAGCTCGCATTCAACTAAAACCTGTGAAACTTAATAGGATCTTAAATATTTGAGCTTCTGTCTGGTCTGGCCTTAACCTCTTATGTAATTAATTTTCAGTATAAATGCAAGACTTTGTGTTCATGTCTATGTCTTGGGGATTTCAGCCTAAGTTTCTAGGTTGTCAAGATAATTTTGAATTTTGAATCTGTCATCTATATTAACTCTTCTTCCAGATATATATGACCATGTATATCTTTGATAAGTATCCTTTTTTGTTTGTTTATCTAGTCTTTGATGCAATTTCGAACAGATCAGGGGTGAATAAAGAATCTGTATGGCATATCTATTTTTTTCCCCAAACATTGTTGTGGTGTACATTTCTAAAGTCTCAGACGTATGTTTGGCCATGCCCATGGTTTTCTTTTCTTACTATTATTAAGATAATATGGTCACTTCATTTTAAGGTTCTGGTTGGAATGATGTTGAGGCTATCAGTTATAATATTTGCTTTTTCTGCATTCTGAGCAAGACATTTATTACATAGGAAATAGAGAGTTTGGTAGATGTTCTACTTTTGTATTAGACTCCTATTAGAAGATATCTGAATAATTTAAACTCCACTCTCTATAGTATGTTTGGTACAAGTTTTGTAATGTTTTCTGGGCAAGTATCATACATATTTCTTTTCTGGATAGACCATCTATGGTATGCTGCTATAATAGTATAGTTAGGTTTTTCTCTTTAGTCCCTCACTTTTATTATTTACCATACTTTATTGTTAAATTCATGCATTTCTATGTGGGAGTAACTTTTGGAAAGATCACTGGAATGGCTTTGAAAATTTCTGGATTTGGGGACTGACCATGTACTGTGAACTTGAGCAAGTCACTTAAGCTTTGTGGACCTGTTTCCTAATATATACGATAGGGATAGTAATATCATTCTTTATCATTTAGGATTACAATAACAGGTCAGGATTTTGAAAATAAGAAACTAATATCTCACATAACAAGAAATCAAGAGATGGGCAGTCTAGGACAAGTAGGGTAGCTATGGGAGCTCCTTAAAAACATTAGGGACTTAGGATCTTCTGAGCTTTCATTTCACCATCCTTAGTGTGTAGTCCTTTGCCCTCTGGCTTCTTGACTCATTGCCACAAAATTACTTCTTTAACTCTGGGCTTCATGTCTATGTTTTAGATATAAGGAATAGGAAAGGCTAACAGGCTAACGGAAAAAGATCCTGGTTTTCTCTTAGTGAGGTTTTGTCACTAAGGTTAAGTCCTCCTAAGGATGTCTGCCTGCAGCTCATTGGCCAGAATCATGTTATATGGTCGCCCCTTGCTTCAAGGAAAGCTGGGAAATTGTTTATTTTCGTGTTTTAGTCTCTATAATAGAGGAGAGCAAAGTAGAAGGGACTGTGTGTAGGGTTTGGGTCAGCTAGTTAACAATATCTGCCACATTCATAGGATTATTGGAAGGATTCAATTATACAGTGTAATAAGTTTTCCTCTCATTCTATTGATGGTCTTAAAAACTAGAGTGTATCTTGAATTAATTTATTCTACTTTTGTATTCAAGCCTCAGAAAATCTATGAGAGTAGTTACTTGAATGTTAAATGAGTTCACTTTATTGCCTACAGTCTAGAAATTGGCATAAAAAGGTTTAGGAATAAATATTGCACTGTTTCCAACCAGCTCCCCTGTTTTCAACCAAGATTAAGAACCATTCCCACATCTGGCTAATCTTTGTGTAACATACATCCTAACCCTCATTGTCATGGGTTTGTATTTATATCTGGGCTTCTCTATGAGGGCTATGTTGATGGGTTTGAAGATTATTTGTCTAGAACAGTGTCCCATCTTTCATGCCACATGCCCTATTTTCTCTTTGAGCATTGCTGAAAGAACCAAATCTTTCCTATTGGTACAATTAACATGGGTATTACTTTTTTCCCTTCCAAAGCCATTGGTGTCAACAGTGGCAGAGCAGTTATTATTATTATTATTATTATTATTATTATTATTATTATTTTTAGCATTTTCTCCTAAAGTCCTTCAATTTGCTGCACAAAACTTGGAAGTTCCTAGAGCTGTCATCCAGATTGCTGTTGATAAACATCATTTGTTTCAATGATAATCAGCTGAATTATATCTTAATTTGTAAAATAAAAAATAACTTTAGGGCATCAAAGCTCCCTGTAATTGGGAAACATTCTAGGAGAGTGTTTGTTTTTGAGGAAGACTATTTTCTGGACGATACTTCTGCTTTGGGTGAAAATCATACTGAAGAATAAAAAGCAGCCTGTCACTAATAGGGAAATAATTGGGAAAGAGGCAGGTCTGTAAAGTGACTCTAGCCCTCCTCTTGCTTTCTTCAGTGACCCACAAAATACTTAGAGATTGAAAGAGTTATTTATGAGTCAGAATGCAGCCAGAGGCACATGAAAGATAGCAGGAGAAATCCTGAGCAGCTAACCCAAAGAATGACAGCCCTAATTTGAGCTCAATGGGCTAGCTGGGAGGTAAATTTGAAAATAGGCCACATATCCTGAATATACATGCAGGAGCTATCACCTGGTCCTACAGCATGAGGTAGAGGAAATAATCATAGTCACCAGTGTTCAGACAAAGTTGTTAAGAGAACTAGAGGGGAGGGAGGTGGGAGGATGGGTTAGCCTGGTGGTGGGTATTGAGGAGGGCACATTCTGCATGGAGCACTGGGTGTTGTGCACAAACAATGAATCATGGAACACTTCATCTAAAACTAATGATGTAATGTATGGGGATTAACATAAGAATAAAATTAAAAAAAAAAAAAGAAAAAAAAGAAAAGGCCCTGGGAAGTGCATAAGTCCTAGAGGTGAGCTGAGAGTAGAATGGAGGAGTGAGAACCTTAAATGAGGTCACAGTGAGTAATAAAATGGAAATTGCCAAAGAATTTGGAAATGACCAGAGAAACTTGCAGAATGTATCATGAAGTTGGAGGTTCTTCAGGTTTATTACTTACGAATCTCTTCATTCTGATGAAATACTGGTAGTTTATAAATTCTGTCATTTTGGGTGAAACAAGACTTCGATGTGTATATGGTTTTTTGTTTTTTTGTTTTGTTTTGTTTTTGCTGCCTGCATTTATTTCTTTTTGTAGACATTGTTCGAAGTGATGTTGCCCTGGATAAACAGAAAGGCTGCAAGATTGCTCAGCACCCTGATGTTATGCTGGAGCTCCAACGGGAGAAGGCAGCTCAGATGCATCTTGTTCTTCTAAAGGAGCAATTCTCTAATACTTACAGTAATCTCATATTAACAGGTAAGGCTATTGGAGTCATCTGGAATCTTAGAGTATTGTAGATTGTTGGCCTCCATTAGTTAACAACTTGATGCCTGGGAGACATTAAAGTGGGCTCTAGATGAGCCCACATCTGTCTGTCTCCATCCACTATATCCCTTTTTAAATTGTGATGACTTTTGTCTTCCTATAAAAAATATTTCTTGTAGTTTACGGATGTATTTTGGCTTGAGGTTATAGGCAACTCAGCATGTGTGTTCTCAAAAGACAGAACCAATGGAAACCTAATGAAGCCTTATAAAAATATGACTTTTTAGATGTGTGCCAGTAGATTTGAAAGAATTACTAAATTTGGTGTCTAAGAAGCAGCTATTTTCCTTTTTCTGTGTATGCCCTTTCTATGAACCCAGTGAACATAAAGATGAAATGTACAAGAGATAATGATCCACAGGCTGAGCTGAGAATGTTCTATTCCTGGTGGAGTTTGAAAATATCTAGAGAATTTGATTTTCTTTTTAAGAGCAAAGAGGCTATGAGACAGCCATACTCCCTTACATCCTTGGTCCAGGAGGGAAGTGAATTTGTGTGAGAGCTCAAAGGAGAAGCAACTTTTTGCAGGGCTGCCTGCAAACTTGGCTGGTAAAGAGCATGTGAGTTGCATGCTTTTGTCAAACTTTGGAGAAGATTCTAATAGCAGACTCTAATGTGAGAACATGGAGGACTTGAGATGGATTAAGAAGAGCTGTTTAAGTTACCTCCATTTTCTTGAGGGCATGCAAGGCTTACCTGCGTATATTGATCTGAATAAAGTTTAACAAATCAAAAGTGTCTGTTTCCCCTTGTTTATGAATATTTAAAAAATAAAGAGATGGAATGTCTGACAGGCTATGAACATCTCACACTTATTTTTGTAAACTCCAAGTTAGGAAAATTTTAACTTTTTTTTACAGGCTTCCTGGCATTTCACCAGGAATTGCTGAGTGGCAACCAAATTGTTTTGCTTTAGAAAAAGCACAGGTCTCTTCCAACTTTTCATCTTGTACCTGGTGGAAAACCCAACAGCATGAGATGAAAGCCAGATTTAAATGTGGCTTTGGTGAGCAGAGAAGAGGATTATGGATTTCATAAGTATAGGCCTTGTTTTTTTGCCCTTTGATAGGTCATTAAGGAGGGAAAACTCAAAAGTGATTTATGGCCAATGCATTATTTCCCTAAGTTGGTTAATGAAACTGTTTAAGTTTAGATGTTTGGCAAGAACATAGATTTTTATCCAAATTTCTTTATTCTGTCTCAAGTGTACAAATGTACGTGTACTTAGTATTTTCTAATTCAGTTATTAGAAATGAAATTTTTTTATTCCATTCTTATTTTAATTTTAGGTCCATATTAAAGCGGTCAGACCCCATGTTCTTTAATGTGGCATAGAAAGGGCTTAAGGTAATTCTAACCCTAAACTGTGGATCCAGAATGTAGCTTGAAGGCATATTATCTTTGAAAACACAAGTGTTCTATTGAGTTCAATGGAATCTTTTCTAATTCTCAGTAACATAATCCCTTTGGATGTTTATTCGCAGTTCAAACTGTTGGAATCAACATTGTCAACTTTTACCCTGACAACTTGCTTACTTTCCACTAAACAAACTTACCCTAGAGAAGAGCCTCTTTCCTGCTCTTACTTCTCCCAAGCTGCTTCAAAGAGTCCTCAGGCATTTTCCACATTTTTCACCCAAATGCGTGTACAGAGGTGGTACCTTGCTGTAGACAGAGCATTTGGTGTGCCCCGGTTTGTTTACATGAAAGTTCACAAGGTTTTGGTTCCAGGTGTTGGGAAGAGATGGAGTCATTTCAATTTAGCACCAATGATAAAACTATTTTAATGTCCTTGAACCGAGTCTTTGATTTTACACAGTGTGGTTTCCTAATTGTTATGAAGTTTAATCCTTGATTTCTTGTATAAATTTTGAGAACATGGTCTCCAGACAGCTAAACATAATATTTAAACATAACTAAACTAACTTTTGTAAATATTTCCCTTTTCAGTGATGAATGTATATTGGTAAGGAGGGTGAGGTTGAAGGGGCAGAGACCTCTCAAATGAAGTGACTTTCTTTACCAACATGTTCAGAACACCTACTTTAGGATTTCTGCTTGGTGATGTTCCACTTATTTTGTATAATTCTGGCATAATATTTGAAATGTCTGCAATGAAAGTATTTATGTGGAACAGGATGAGGAAACTGGGCCTCCAAAAATCTCAGAAAGAGCTCATTTTCTTCACACTTCTGCCCTCCTCTCAACCCTTCTCAATTATTTACATTAATAATTATTTAATTATTTATTTCATGTATATGGGTAGCAGGGTATCATAATTGTTTCCTGGCCAGTTGTGGTATATTCTTTATTTTAAAATTGGATAACTAAGATCATAGTATGGGAAAAAGTTAATGAAGTCAGCATAGTAGAAAATTGATAAAGTGAAATGTCAGAGAGTTAAAAGCATATTAAAAATGATGGTTGTTGCCCTCCACCTCACTAGCAAGCCCTCATTCTTAGATATTCCAACTTTGGCTGATGTTACTATCAGCGTTGAGGTGAGAGGCATGCCTTCATACTCTGCGTTTCAGCTCATGATCTCTCTTAAACAGCTACTCCTCAGATGCTGGCAAATGATATTCTAGGTCTTCTGACCAATCAATAAAAGGAAACAACTCTGCAGTCCTTAGTGACAGCCCAGTTAACAGAAACTAATAACAATTCTTTAATGTGTATATCTTATTTATTCCTCCTTATATCATAGTTTTGGAAAAGTGGATTGTATTTTTGCATGGTATTAAACATGTCTTAATGTTTTCATGCAAATGATTTACATAGCAATGGAAATAATGTTAGCCTCACATAATCTAGAGGGTTTTTGAAATAAACTCTAAGGTTTTGGGAAGGTGATGGAGTAAGACCAATAGAACATCAGTGATAGAACTATTTTAACTGGTGACAAGTAACATGCTGCACTTTTCACACTGACTCACAGTGCATGGATGTATGCTTCTGTAGCTTCCAGTTGTCCCAGAGCTTTTAAGGAAGAACAGGGATTGTTCTTCCATTTCTTTGTGTTCTCATGATTCTTAATGTAATAATGTTCTATATATTTGTTGGAAATGTTCTGCTGTGTATATGCTGAATGAATTCCCTTGAGATAATTTTGACAGCTAATTAATAACTTTTATAGGTTCAGATTCAATTATTCATCTCCCCTCACCTTGCCCCACTCCCATACTTTTTGAGGTGTAAATTCACGTTTTGTGGTAGATTCCTATAATCAAATGAAAAAGCCTTAAGGGGCAATGCATTTTCTAGGATTTTGTTTAGAACGTAAGCTTCTGGAGGGCAAGCAATGTTATAATTGTACAGCATTCTGCATAAATGAGGTCAAATTTAAACAAAATTTATTTGTGCTGTGAAGTCATAGTCAACCCTCTATAACCAGGCAGCCTGAACGGAAACCATTATAAATGGATGGCATTAGCTAAGATGCTTTCCAATGAGGACTCTTCTCATGTTAATTGCTGCCACTTTTTGTTTTGTACCTCCTCTTTCAGTCTTAGATTCCAAAGTGGATTGGGATACCTATGGTCAGCTTTACTGTGTTACTGTGGCAAATGAATTGAGCAAAAGAAGCTCATACTTCCCTGTTGTGGCCTATTCTTCTAACTTTAGTTGAACAAAGGGCTCAAATCAATGGAATGAGAACTGTTCTTTTAGTTCCCATAAATTATAATTGCTCGGAGGACTATTTCCAGGTCTTTTAAATTATTTGCATTACATTCTGTGGTATAACGTTATTTAACCATTTCTCTGTCAATGTACATTAATTTATATGTTGACACATTTATTTCTGTAGAGTAGGTTTCTCAATGTGGGATGTCTGGGTCAAAAGGTTTGTATTTTTAAATTTTATAAAATCAGGGTTTTTGTGGTATAATTTATAAGAAAAAATAAATTTTGGCAAATGTATATATCATAGAGTCAAATAGCCACCACCACCATCAAGATACAGATTTCCCTCACCCTAGAAGTTCTCTCGTCTCCCTTTGCAATCTCCTTTCCCTCCCTTCAGTCTTTAGTTGTATCTGATCTGATATTTGTTCCTAAATGTCGTATAAATGGAATAATAAAGTGGTTGTGTGTCTGATTTCTTTCACTTAGCATAATTCTTTTTGAGATTCATTCACTTGTTGCATATATCAGCATTTCATTCCTTTTTATTGCTGAGTAATTTTTAATGTTGTGAACATGCTACAACTTTTTATCCCTTCCTCTGTTGGTTTGTTTCTAGTTTTTAGTGATTATGAATAAAGCCACTATAAACATTTGCTTTCAGCTCTTTGTGTTAATGTATTTTTTCTTTTTCTTAGGTAGTACAGTACCTAGGAGTGGGAATGCTTGATTTCATGGTGTCTGTTTTAACTTAAAAGAAGCTGTCAGATTGTTTTCCAAAGTGGCTGAAATGATCTTGTATTCCAATAGGATGTGAGAGTTCTAGTTCATCCACATTTTTCCAACAATTAGTATTGTCTGTTGTTTAAATTTTAGCTACTCTAGTGAATATATAGTAGTATCTCGTGGTTTTAATTTGCAATTTACCTTATGACTAATGGTACTGAACATCTCTTATGTGTTTATTTGCCATCTATATATCTTCTTTGGTAAAGTGTTTTAAGCCTTTTGCCCATTTAAAAAAAATAATGAGTTTTGTTTTCTTACTATTGAGTTTTGAGAGTTCTGTATATATTTTGGGCTACAAGTCCTTTTTCAGATATGTGATTTGCAAATATTTTTTTTTCTGTGACTGTCTTTTTCCTTTTTTTTTTTTTAGAGTGGGGAGGGGCAGAGGGTGAGGGAGAAAGAGAATCTTTTTTTTCTTTTTAAGGGGGGGAAGTGGGGAGGGGAGGAGCAGAGGGAGAGAGAGAATCTTAAGCAGGGCTCCATGCCCAGTGCAGAGCCCAATGTCAGGCTCAACCTCA